TCCGTTCTCCTCTGGATATTTTTGGAGATAGGGTCTTGCTTTTTGCCAGCCCCACCTGGACCATGATTTTATTTTAAGCTTTCTATCATAGCTAGGAAAACCAGTGCATAGCACCATGTCTAGCATTTTTTTTGCAGTTGAGATGGGATCTCACAAACTGGCCTGCAAACAACTACTATCTCCCACTTCCAAGTAGCAAGGATTACAGGCATGAGCCACTGGCACTGGTTTATGCATCTCCTCTTGAGATACATAAATACATGTGTGTGCATGTATGTAATCAGAAACCATGCCTCAGAAACATATGCAATAATCACTTAAACTCCATTAAACAAGACATTATGCACTTAAGTTATTTTCAAGATCTTGAGAAAGATTTTTGGTTAGAAGCTCCCTGAAAAGCCTTCATATTTTATCACTTATTATATCGTACTTATTTTGCAGCTTTAAGCTACTTGCTTTGTGCATGCAGGTGCCAGATGTGCACCAAATATCACCAAGTTTTCTCACTATTTCTACTGGTCATATTTGGTGGCTCATTACTTGAAAGCATGTACAACAGGTCATTTTAATATAATCAAGATCTAGGGTTTCTAATCATTTGAGAAATAAAAAATTTAGCAAGATCTTTATACCTAAAAAAGTTTGATTTCAACTTGGGTATTTCTATAAATTTCGAGTAGTTGGAGTATAATTGAGCCAAAGTCATCAATTTCATTTATATTTTGTTTTTTTCTTTATTTTACAGTGCCTTTTTAATGTCCCCCTATTTATCTATTAATTATTGCTACAGACAGTTGTTATATGCAATTAGACTGAGTTCTTCTGATTAAGTCAAGATTTGATAAGCCAAATTATTATTTCAGTACCAGTAGATGTGGGAGATGATCACTTTGATAATGACATTAATTGGTTTTAATAGTTGCCTGGTATAATCCATCAACTGTTCTCTATCAATTTTGTTTTGCATGATTCAACTTTAAGGCAACTAAACACTTCAAATTATTATAAGACTAAAACAATTGCCAAATGTACTGAGTTTAGAAAATAAGGATACCTCAATATTTAAGTTATTCTTGCTTGAACTACTTATTATTCAGACATGATTTGGAGAGGAAGCAATCACTCTGCTATCTTTTTCCACACCACTGAGAGGCTTTTTAATGAAAAGATGACTTGAGGAAAAGATCGTTCCATTTAAGAATATGTATAATGGTGTTAGCTACTTTTCTTTAAAGTAAGTGAATAGTTTATACATTATGTCCTCTGATTTTCAAGTAATTGGGGTTTTTCTTTATGTCTACAACTAACCATTTTACGATGAAAAATTTTAACACACATAGATCAGGAAAGCTAAAATTAAAATCTTTAACCTTCAAGACTAACCGTTAACTGGTTCTAATGCTACATTATTAAAAGTGTTTTCCTATTTCCAAATCTATTAATGAAAGGGATGTGAATCTTTTCCTTTTCTGGTAGTGCTGTTTCAATCATGCATAAACATTTTGCTGTTATTCTTGTGCCAAAGAAATCTTCAATTGTTGTTATTGGAAATGATTTTGGTTCCATTGAGTGGCCTCATTACTGTCCAATTCCCTTCAAACTTACATTTCCTGTCCTCAAATGCCAAAAAAAATGAGTTTTACCTTAAACCTCATTGATCTAAAAGTTCAACAAGTTTGGCTTTGTAATCTTTAAAATTAATAGCTACTTAATATGGGAAAGTCTGTCCTTAATCTTGAGCAATAGTTGTGTTAAATACAAATACTCTATATGGCTGCTTAAGGTTACCTTTGAGAAGTTTTGCACATGTGTTTATGTAGGGTAAAAGCAGAGTTATAATTTTAGTACCATCACTACACCTGACTAATTCTGTATCCCTTGGCATATTGTTCAGTCTTTTTAAGCCCCACTTTCCTTATATGCAGAATGGTAACTATGATAAAATAAGATAATGCCTATCTGGAAGGGGAATTTAAGGATTAAAGTAAGATAAGTCACATAAAAATATCCACGATGCAGACATATTAGCAATTTTAGCAAATTTAAAATTTATATGGCAAGATAAAGAAAGTCATGCTGGGTTGTTTCCCTGTAGAATCATGCCACTCCCATAACATCCAACACCAACCTGACCTCAGTACTTCTCTCTGCATTGTGGAATATCCCAAAACACTCCTCTGTAAAACCAGTCACACATCCTTACCCTGGGATGAAGAGCTGCGTCAGAGCTGATACGATGTGTATGCTATGCATCCCCAGCTATCCAACTACACAGTAAGCAATAACTTGAGTCAATTGAAAACTCGATGACTTTCTCACTAAGTGATATTCACTCACTACTGTTAAATACTATTTCCTTCTGATAGCACTTTATAGAGGGTATTTTTTTTAAAAACCCTAAGTACTGGAGATAGCTAACATTTTTCTAAATAGAAATAATTTTTCTTGAACTAAAAAATTTAAGTTCATCTCCACTTTCTTGTTGGTAGCATTCTGGTAATCTTCCTTTTGAACTATGTTAATGAACCTTCAAAACTGCTGGGATTCTCTTGTAGTCCCTTCGTGAAACAAATCCATTTCTGACATACTTCATACTTTTTCTAATTTAGCAAGAAGAATCAACAAATATTCTCACACCAACTTTCCCTTTACTGCTCTTTTATAAATCACAACATTCAAACATTAAGGATCTGATACAAATTTTGCCTGATATAATTCAGCATTTCTTTGGGACTGTTCAGAACTAATCTATCCTCCCCCAAAATATTCTCATACAATTAAAACCATTGTACCTCATGCTGATTAACATGTACATTAGTCTTTATTACCCAACTTTATCCTATATAACTTAATTGTTTTACCTTTTTTCTAAATGTAGCCATTTTTCTAAAATGTAGCCATCTCCATTACATTTTATATTATATAAAATAATAGGTATTTTACCAATGGCTGCAAATTATTTATACAAATAACCAGTGAAATAGGGTCCAAGATTTCAAATGACTGTTTTAACTTTACTTGATGGTATGATACAAAAAATCAATGATCAGGTTAATTAAAGACTTTATTATTGAAATGTATGAGTGTGACCATATTTAATATACGTTTTTAAAGTCTCAAAATCAATTCATTGCAAAAATTGTAAGTTTTTATTATACCATTTCTGTGCACACAAATAATGTACTTTGATCATATTTATCTCTCTATAACTCTTTCTAATCCCCCCTCCCTTTTTTACTCTTCCCCATCTATATCCCTGGTGGTCCCCTTTATATTTCAATGTGACTTTTTCCCTAGATTCCATATGAGATGAAGCATGTGAATACTTGTGTTTGTGGGACTGGATTATTTCACTTAACATTATGATCTCGAGTTCTATCCATATTCCAGGAACGACATAATTTCAGTCTTCTTTATGGCTGAGTAAAAAGCCATGGTGTATTTATAGAGTATTTCATTATACATAATCTAACTCCATAATCTGCCTTCTATAGATATTGCCATGATAAACATGGTGTGCAGGTATCTATAATAAGCTTGCTTTGATTCTTTTGAGTCAAATAAGCTTACTTTGAGTCTTTTCAGTTTATACCAAGAAGTGATATGACTAAATAATTTGGAAGTTGTATTTTTAACTTTTGAAGGATTTTCTGAATAGACTCCAATAATTCAGGAAATAAGAGCAGGGACTGACAAATGAGATTTCATCAAATTAAAAAGCTTCTGCACAGCAAAAGAAACAACAGAGAATAGAGACAACCTATGGAATAGAAAGAAATTCTTTGCCAGATGTAATATCCAGAATACATAAAGAACTCAAGGTCAGTCCAGGCATGGTGGTTAACACCTGTAATTCCAGCTACATGGTAGGCACAGATAGGCAGATTGAGGCTTGATACTAGCCCCAGACAAAAAGTAGGAGACCCTATCTGAAAAAAAATCACTAAAGCAAAAAAAGGCTGGTGTGTGACTCAAGAAGTAAAGCACCTACCTATCAAGCAAAATGCCCTAACTTCAAACCCCAGTATCACCAAAAATTATTTTTTAAGAAATATCAAAAGCAACAGAGGTTATCATGACAGGGGGATCAGAAACCAGGGTAAAGATCAGTTAGAGATGAATCAACATGGGTCATAACACGTGTACACGAAAGCAATGCTAGGAATATTTCTGTATAGCTATCTTCAACTCAACTAGCAAAAACACTTTGTCTTCTTTATTATGCTTTTCTTCAACAAAACTAGTGATAAAGGCAGAAAAGGACCTGCCTGGAACTGAGGGGAGAAGGGGAGAAAGGGTGGGGGGGGCAGGGGAGAGAAATGACCCAAACAATGTATGCACATGTGAATAAATGAATAATAAAATAAATAAATAAATAATAAAATTACTTCTGGGCACAACAAAAAAAAGAAAAAAGAAACTAATAAATAAATAAATACAAAAAGGACAATACAAAAAAAATCAATCAACAAATAGACAAAAGATACTTTTCAAATAAAGAGGTACAATGGCCAGTAAATACATGAAAAGGTGTTCAACAACCTTAGCAATTGGGAAAATGTAACTAAAAAGTGCACTGAGATCTAAAAACCCCAGTCAAAATTGCTGCCATCAAGAAAACAAAATATTTGAGCTTGAGATGTGGTTCAAGTGGTATAGTGCCCACCTAATAAGCAAGAGGCTCTGAGTTCAACCCCTAGACCACCAAAAAATAAGGAATGAAGGAAAGAGGAAGGAATGAAGGAAGGAGGAAGGGAGTGAGGAATGAAGGGAGGGAAGAGGAAAGGGAGTGAGCACCAAACACTGTCATATACTAAATGGAATTTGCTCATTAATCAAACATTCATTGCACACTTAATATAAATTAGGCAAAAGGTGAATAAAACATAGCAGTAGGAGCTTATAATTTAGACAGATGAGTATATGGAGAGGCGGGGGGGGGGGGGGGGGGGTGAGAAGGTATTCAAAATTCACATGTCCAAATATATATTTCATACAGCGCAATCAAACATGCCGTGCCTGTAGATTGATAGGCTATCGACGAAGCGTGGCGCGTGGAACAGTGCAACCCGATCAGACACCGTTGGGAGCAGCAGGCCACCTCGATAGGCAATGTGAGCCATATGACCTTCAGACGGATCGATGGATATTATTACCTATTAGAAATACCGTAATTTTCAAATTCCCATCAAAACTATCCAAAAAACAGATGTATAGGAGTAGAATTAACTTTGATTTGTTGTATTTACTGAATTTGCTTTCTCCTTCAAAAAAAAATATTACTTTTTCTTTTTATTATTGGGCAAACAATCTTTAATTACTTTGGAGATATCCTTGATGCCTCCTTGCTCCTTGTTAGTTGATCCCTGGAATCTTTGTTCAATTTCTTTCCAGCAGCCTATGATTCCAAAACCTGATTGGCTATTGGTCCCCAATCAACACCCCCTCACCCTTACTCTACCTAGGAAATGGTTCACCTTCCCTTTCTCCTTTCTTGTTTACAAGACAAAGTTAAAGAAAACTATCCTCAAGGTTAAGAAGTGTCCTGTTACTCATTGCTGAAAAGCAGACAGTTGACTACAAAAACTAACTGAAGTGAAAGTTCCAAAAATATCTTCCAATATTACCAAACCCAACTGTCCCAGCAACCTTCCATCCTTAATGATTAGTTCATCTCATTTGGCTGATTTCATAGCTTATTTTCCCATACATATCTTTTGCCACTTATGCTACTTTCTGACCTTTATGGTGCTATTTTCTGTATTTGTTTTTGTTTTATTAATACAAAGCAAGCAAATGAATGTTTTTATGCTTTATAAACAAATTCCTGTGTCACGTAGACTCTATGAGTGAAATACAATTCTCACTCTTAAGTAACAACGACTATACATCTTATAGCAGCCAGGAAAACATCATGTGCATAACAACATAAATAAACAGTTACAGAAAACAAAGATATGTAAGTTACGAAAACTCATCTCTTACTCTACCATACATAATTGGAAAGGGACCCAAGATTTTTAAAATCCATTAATGAAGAACTTAAATCATGGACAACATAAGGAATGGTGAAGTGCATAGGAGAAAGTCAGGAAAACAAACCTCAGTACAAACACTGTCTCTACTCTTTACAGTTATTTGATTATATAAAGCTACTTAATTTCTTTGATCCATTCTTCATCTCTAAAGAGGATAATACCACAAATCAGAGTAAAAAAAAGTAAAATGAGATAAAGTAAATAATTTACTTAATGTCTAGCACATATTCAAGCATTTAATAAAAAGGAGGCTTTATTTATTATTCACTTATACTATAGATATTACTAATGACTGATTTGTTCTTTGTAGTACAGAAGCCAAATAATGCTTAGATACACATTATCACCATTTCCTACTATTTCATATCATCAGGAGTGCACTGAAAGGATTTTCCTTACTAACTCCTTATGTATATCTACTTTATTCAAACAACCAAGATGTTAAATCTAAACTAAGATATGATATATATCATTTTAATGAAGATCATTCATTCAATAACATTTTAATTTGTGCCAGCATATAAAGCACTTAGAGATACAATGCTAAATGTTTTCTGATTCTATGTAGTCTAAAGTAGCTAGGGAGAAAGACATAGGAATATAAATATAACATTATAAAATAAAAATTGTGTTTACAATTAGGTATGTGAAAGATGTCAAGGGAGCACATTGGGAGCAAGTGATTCATTCTGTTGGAGAGAAAAGAATGTTTTAAGGAAAACTAACACCTGAATAGAGCCTAAAAAATTGCCAACTTCTCATGTGCTAAAACTGAGGGGAGAATTATGGGCAAAGGAGGAGTAGAAAAAAGGGAGCCATGGCTGCTATTTGAAACCTTCTTGAAACTGCCTGTCGTTCTGTCTAGACAGTTTTTTCAGTAAGAGGACAGTGTTACGTGAAGAAAATTTTTTAATAATCACAGATTGGATATGACATTGCATATATTCTTCTATACTCAGAAATAGTTGTTTCTAGGGAAAAAAGACAGACTGGAAAATCTTGCCTTCATGGAAGCTGAATTTTTCTGATTTTGGATTAAGCAATCTGGATAATAATGGCTTCTTCCCCTTTGATCTTTCATATGGCTGGTCTTTGCATTTTTATTTTTCCATGATTAATAGGCCCACCATCTCACCTCATCTCTAAAAAAGACTCTATCAGATTCACTGAGCAATATTGTTCTGAATTCTCATTTTTACCTATTTCCAACCTGAATTCCCAAGTCCCCAGGTTCAGAAAGACAGAATGAAGGTGCCAAGGATGGTTGTGAGAATTACTTGGAGGAGACAAAGCTACCTGGAACACAACTCCTCTAACACATGGATTGTTAAAGAGCTAACTTCAGTGGGAAAGGAAAATTAGAAGAGGTGAGACACTATTATTGTGGTTATTGCCACGTATATTAAAAATTGAATGTTTTAAGGGGCACTCAAAGAGGAGGGATCCAGGTAGTTCTCTTAAAGATAGAGATGAGCTGATTTTCAAAGAAATTAAATCCCTTTGCACCCGAATCCCTCATTGTAACACTAGATAATGAATTGGCATCGTATTGCCGTAGATTAGATGTGATTTCAGGGTTGTACTCAGAATAGAAATAAGATAATCATATTCATTTTGTGGTCTTGTTTAAAATAAGGTTATTTTCAAAACAGTTAATCTATAATAAGCACTTTTCCTTACATTTTGTGTTTAATTCCATCTAGAAAGACTTCCTGAATGTCATTTTAAAAATGTAAAAATGTAAATACTGACTCGACATCTGTAGTGAGCTATAACTTGAAAGGTTCTAATACAGCTTGTTTTTACAAAGAAAAAAAAAACTTTGAACATTAATACCAAATTCTCCCAGGAGAAATGACAGATGAAACTGAAAACATATAAAAGCAACTAGAAGTGTTTCCAAGAGTTAAAGTCTAGGGAGGTCTTCAATTTCTGATGTCCTGTTGGCAGTCTATTCTCTGAAGATACATTTATACATAAGAATTTTTTTAAAGGCAAAACTACAATGAAAGCTTAATTAACTCCCTACCCCTGAACTTCACATATTAAACCAAGCAAGGTTATATTAATAGTAGCAGCACTCTTAGTATACATTTTTTAAAATAACAGTTTATCCTGGCATGCAAAAGTATATAGAGGGAAAAATATTCAGCCATTTATTAAAAATGGAAACAAGAAAAATGAATGAGGTGCAAGGGTACTTCAACTTTCTGATAAAATGAAAATTTCTTCAGAAAAGTTCTATCAGATTATGGATCAATTTAACAATTAGTAAATTTGTTCAAGGAGATAGGTAAGCTACCCTTCTGCACTTGAAAGGGCAAATGTTTCCAGGATTTAAAGGAGATAAATGGAAGTTATAAATATACAATAGATGGTTGGAACAAATGATACTTCTTTGAGAATCCTGCATTCTTTATGATTGGTAAAGACCCTTGGTATCCAAAGGTAACTATGGTGCCAAGGAAACTGCTGTTGAGGAAAATCTGCAAATGCTCAGGGTACAAGACTTCAGTACTGTACTGGAAATAATCAATTCATTTTTCCCAACTTCCACTAGAGACAAGCAGTGTTTCAAACTCTAAAATTTCAATTATCATTTAAATTAAAATTAATTTAAATTAATTACCTTGCTTTGGGGTACCATTTTTTTTGACATGTGTTTTTACAAATGAGGACAGGGAAAACCCTCATGATTTAAACAAACTATATGATTTAAACACAACTGATGATAACACAAAGACTGAGAACGTCTCTGTATTGAGTTGTATAATGTGCATGCAAGAATTAAAATTTTTTGTTTTTGAAATTTCTTCTGATTTTTTTACTTATTTTTGACCATGCTTGGTCGAAACTGCATATAATAAGTCCACGACTAAGGTGGGTTTATTGTAACATCTTTATGGGAAATCAGATCAAGAGGCCAAGATTTGCATGGATATATGGGTACTGATGAGTACTAAAAGCTTGAAATCATTTTTGCCGTTTTTATAGTAGTGCAATGCCTCCTGCCAGAGCTTGTAAATTCTGTAGAAATCAACTAGCCAAATTGACTGAAGGTTGAGAATATGGACCAATGCCATATACTTCAACCCTAAAGTACAAAGTGGCTTTTAAAATTCTACCACAGAAACAACTGCAGTAGTATACATACCCTGTAAGAGTCAGATAAAATTATACTGTCATTCATACACTACAATGTGTTTAATTAAGACCATAGTTTAATGTCTTTTACTGGTATATAAAAGTTTAGTAACATTTCCATATATGTACACAATGTAACCCAGTTTGATTCATTCATTTTTAATAAGTGACATTAAAAGATGATTATGAATTCAATAATACAAAAGTTCTAGCTATTCTTCTAGTGTTCTTCATGAACACTTATTTCAACCATCAAAATCTACAAACAAGAGCACAGAATCCTCCTGGCTACTCATGTAGTTTAGCTGACAAACAGGCCTATTCCAAAATAAAGATTGATTTACCAATAAAGATGTATTAATGGAGTTCATCATATTAACACATGTTTGTGAGAAAAATTATTTTATCACCTTCAGATATTAGATACTATTAAACATATGATAAGATTAAATTCACATTCAAGATTTAAAATAAAACTCAGAAACTGGAAGTAAGAGAGAATGCCTTTAACTTGATAGAATACAATCACAAATAACCACAGCAAAGCTTATAACATATTTCCTTTAAGAGCAAGAAATGGATAGTCCTTGTTAGCATTCTATTTAAAATTCTACCAAAGGTCATAACCAGGAAAATGAGAAGAGAAAATGAAACAAATGGGATTAATATAGAAAAGGAAGAAACAATATATCATTACTCACAAGATGGAAACAGACAAAGCCTAAATTAATATCCAAACAAATTAATAATAGTTTAGTCAGATGCTGGATATAAGATAAATGAACAAAACTAAATTGTACTTATATTTACCATTTATAAAGAGTTTAAAATTTATCTGTTATTTTACAATCAATAAAATAATTAGTCAATGTTCAATAATATAACTAAGAAACATGAAGTATGATCTTCAGAGAAAAACTTCACATTTGGTAAAACATATC